AGGCAAGATGGCAAGCCCAGCCATGCTGGCCACTCTCTTGGTGGTGCAGTTGCCCCTAGTGGTCTCTCTGCAGTATAGCACTCCCCTCTGGGCTCACGCCCCTAGTGGCCACTCTCGGTATCGCGTCCCTCCTCTCTGGGCCTTTCCCTTTCCATGTTATGGCACTTCCCTCTTGCTTGGCACAACCAAACCCTGATCTTGCTTTAAATTATGATAAGAGGAATCTGCATACCAAATTTGGTGGCCCTAGCTCTTACTGTTTAGGAAGTTTTCTTGAACAAACATGCTTACAGAGGGACACCATTTTTTTGCAGACTGTAAAAAAAAGTGGGGCAATGTTTGTTTCCCTTTTTATAAAAGGGATTTTAATATATTATATTTATTGTCCCCATCAAGCAGGAAGTCAGCTAAGAACCCTAGCTCAGAACTTAACCCCCACTTCCTTTTCTAGCTCTTCATGCTGTGCTGATGCCTTGGCAGAAAAATCTCCCATCCCTCTTTCATTCCCATTTCTCTGAAACAGTAACCCAAAATACTCCTGTTTGGTGCTGATCCTGTCTGCAGGCTTCAGTCAGCATTAATAATTAGACTTTGAGATAAGCCATCTGCTTGCAGGCCTCTGGTGGTCTCTGGTCTTGAAACAGAGCTGCAGAGGCCAGTCACAGGTCTGTAGCAGGAGAAACCTGTCAGTGACACAGCATCTGCTCACCGAGATACTGAGCCGCTCTTGCAATTGAGCACCTACGTGCTGGGGGTTTTAATGTCACTGGCCAGGAGGAGAAAACAGTAGCTCTATAAACAGCATTTTCTCTCTCTCCCCAAAGGGTGTTGGGGTATAGAACTAATGAGGGCAAGCTGAGGAGAGACACGGAGCAGAATTCAATAATGAATTAAAGATTTCTTCACACATTGAGCATCTGAGCAAGAGAGGGAATGAAAATCTTGTCCAAGTTCATGCTGGCTGGCTGAAAAGGAAAAAATAAATGCATCTGCCTCTTAGGTGCTATTTGTTCTGTTTTTGGCACTCTTGTCCCCATCTTACAGATTATCAGCAATGCTTAAAACTGTGTTTGAGAGGAGACCTAGATTTAAGAGGTCACTTGAGAGGTTTAAAAACACCCTATTAGAAACTTAAACAACAAATAGTCTTGTAGCACCTTAAAGACAAACAAAACATATAGATGGTATCGTGAGCTTTTGTGGGCACAACCCACTTCTTCAGATGAATGGAGTTATTAAAGATCCAGTTTCGAAATAAGTAGGAGATGCAGGGGGAGAGAAGGAAACAAAAGGCAAAGAAATAGTCAGAGTCTCCATACTACATGAAGCTGATAGAGAAGATGCAGATTGTTCTGAAGTGCCCATTGTTTGGTTTTTTATGTCTTTAGAATGTGGAATGTAATGGTCCATCCAGCCAATGTCTTAATTCTGACCTTTGTGATAGGAATCAAACCTGTAAATTATATTTGAACTTAACTTCAGGCTTCCCTGTGTATTTGGCTTGTGGAATTGGCCTGAAACAATCTGGTGACTTTGAAATCCATTAATGGGGCAAGTTAAAATGTTCCCCAACAGGTTTCTGTATGTTGCCTTTTTGGGTACCTGACCATTAATTCTTTCTCTAGTTTGGCCAGTGTACATGGCAGTGGGGCATTGCTGGCATTTGATGGCATAGATCACATTGGTGGATGTGCAGTTAAATGGGCCTCTGATATTGTGGCTGACGTGGTTAGGTCCTGTGATGATATCGCTTGTATAGATGTATGGACGGAGTTGGCATCGGGTTGATTGCAGGGCTGGAAAGAATTTGTTTGAGGTTAGGGGTTGTCTGTAGGTGAGGATTGGCCTGTCTCCCAAGGCCTGTGAGAGTGAGGGGTCATTTTCCAGGATAGGTTATAGATTGTTGATAATGCGTTGGAGAGGTTTAAGTTGTGGGCTATAGGTGATGACAAGTGGTGTCCTGTTGTTTTCTTTCCTTGGCCTGTCTTGAAGTAGTTCATGTCTGGGTAATCTTCTGGCTCTGTCAATCTGTTTTTTCACTTCTCTAGGTGGGTATTTCAGTTTTAAGAATGCTTGATATAGATCCTGGAGGTGTTTGTCTCTCTGAGATTGGAGCAAATCTGGTTATATCCTAGGGCCTGGCTGTAAACTACAGATTGAGAATTATGTCTTGGATAGAAGCTTAGAGGCATGAAGGTAAGTGTAACGTTAGGTAGGTTTCCGGTATAAGGTGGTGAAAATGTGTCCAACATGCAGTTGCAGTATGTTTAGATCTGAGAAACAGACCCACTACCTACAGAATAATCCCTCTTT